CTACAAACTAATAACATCTATTTAAGGTCTGACATAAGTGTGCATCCTTTTGATGTAAAATGACAAAACTCTAAGACAGTACAGATATGACATTACACTTCCAAACACTTTGTGCATGTTGTAACCACCAGAGGGAAATCTTGCACCAGTCTGCGTGTGCAAATAAACTAAAATCAAAGCAAACAGATGATTTTTTAAAATGAAGGTATGAAAATAATTTTAGGCCTAAAAAAAAAAAGTGTGCTCTCTGAACAAATCTTCAGGGATTCTTAAGAAAGTAGCAGTGTCTCACAACCAGTTATGATATTATATGTGAAATTTCAAAAGTTTGTACTCAAGGAACATTGGTAATTTTTTATATCCTACTACCTACTAAACTCAAAATGAATGCTGAGTTTGGGGCTAAAAAGCCCAAATGGTTTCCAAATACATTCAAGCATCCACACTTGCATCAAGAAGACAGCAACAAAGACTTGGAGAATTTTTTTAAATTGGAGCACTTTTCTGTTTCTGAACTAGGTGATACCATATAATTGACTCAGTTGTTTTATACCATGGCATCTACTTCTAATCCTGAGTGAATCACAAATTCATAAATTCATCCAGTTGTTACAGACTAAATACGTATTATAAATATTATTACATCAATTTGTATTGATTTTAATAAATATCTGGGAATGATGAAGCTACAGTAAAATGAAATAAGAGCTTCAAAGACATTTGGTAGAAGAATATTAATTTCACTTGTTTAGCTGAGTCTAATATATATAGACCAAATTGATAATATAATTTATAATAATTCAATATCTATTTCTAACAAAAAGGCAGTACATGTAAATGAAAGATGAAGATTTCATTAGAAATATGAAAGGTGCATCAGTATTTACAGTTGGGTTACATGATATCATAAATTAAAAGAAAACTGACTATGAATATCAGATACAAATTTGTACAGGCAATTGGTTTTTCAGTTTGTGGGGAAGGCGGCCCTGACTTGGTGGATAAGAATTTTTACCTTTAAAATAGCTTTTTTAATTAGTAGATTATGTTTTCTAGAGTAAATAAAACTTAGATACTTTTTGACTTATGTTAGACAATGAAGTTCATTCAACCAAAAATGAAGAATTATTTTAAGGAACTCATCATAAAAGGAACTGAGCTATGCTCCAAGTGGTGAAAAGAACAACACTGCTCAGTGGTTACATCGTTACCACCAGGTCTTGTGTCATTCCTACAGACTAGAGGAGGTGTAATTTAATTTCCTCTTCAGCCTGAAGGACATGAAGAAGAGAAGTAAGATCTACTGATGTAGGAGAATTTGATGGCGAAATTTTCACCTTTTTTTAGCTGTACTTTGCATGGATTTTTTTCAAAGAAGCTATGAGCCCTTAACTCGCAAGGGGTAACAGAGAATTGGGACCCCCTGCCATAGGAGGTGGTTGGAGAGAATACCCTGATTACTTGGCAGTAGCATAAAAACAGTAGGTTAGGAACCACTTTCAGTGGTTTTGTGAAATCATTTCCTTGCTATTTGTTATAGTATCTGAAAACTAACCAGAAATGTCAAAATATTTTAGATGCTTCGTGAGACAAACTGTTTTGACAATTTGAAACTGTTATCATTTTCACTTAATCTGAAACTTTGTTTTCAATTTTGTCCAAATTTTTAAAGCTACAAATACCATCTCTTGCTATTCTGTAGCAACAAAATTTCCCCAGAATTTCCACAATTATAAATAACAAGATTGCCCTACAAAGATCCAAAGCAGAGTTATATCTGTTATGTACTTAACCATCACTAATAACCTCCCATAGCAAGATGTTGTTTTCTAGACTGTTTTTTTCAAGTTTCTCTTCAGTTTCCACTAATCATCATCAAATGCTATCTACCTTGGTGTATAGTTTTAATTTTCTTTCCTTTGCCTTTCCTTGCTAGAAGAAAGGTACAGATGGCTCTGAAAGCATGTCCACTTTGAGTGTCTTGCAGGCTCACCAATTCATAATAATCACTCTTCTAAGAAATGTAATATATAAATAGAAGAGACACCACATGAAATTTAAATTTCCCCTGTGAAGAAAGTTGTCATTTATTGTGGGGAGAAGAATAATAAATCAGGTCCATTTTCATGGTCATAGATATCAGAAAACAGATTTAGCTTTAGACTGTCTGCACTGACTTTATATATTTAGCAGTGTGCACTGATGACCTACGTCCTTCTGAATTGCTAGAACAGGAAGCACCAAGCAGGGCCACCTAAAGCAGAATGGAACCTATGGAACCTGCCAACAAGAGACACCTTGTATGTCCAGCCAATACCACAACCTAGCCCCAGTCCCCAGCTGGAGGAAGATATGAATCAGCTTCTCAAATCTTATCAGCCGCATCTTCTCTGTGCAAGACATGATGCAACCCTGCATATGTCCTTCTCTCTTTAAATGTGGTGGGAAAAAAGAACCTGTGGAAGAACAAATCTTATCTTTCCAAAAATCCCAGATGGAATATCTGCAATGAAAAAGAAAACCTTACCATATGTTTGTCATACACAGCTATGACAACAAGGAGAAAATCATAATAAAACATAGTAAAAATCATAATAAAACATAATAAACTTTGAAATGTTGCTCTATAAGCATTAAAATAAACATTGAGTTCCAAGGCTCCTCTAAATCTGTACTCTTTTTGTGACTTGAGCTACCAATATCAGCCCCAGCTCATGAGTTGGTTCTGCTGACATGGCCACCAAAGGAATGATGGAATATCTAAGGGCCCATCAGCCACATCCACTGGCCAGTCTGCCACTATGGCCATCTTCTTCTGGACATTGAGCAGAGGAATCCTTCTCTTCCACTGCTTTTGCTCTGAACTGGTCTTTCTCTTTTACCTTATGGTATGTTTCACAAAAAATATCAAGAAGGTATTATATCTAAATTAAATTTCTACCGACCCACCCTTCCATCCTGTAGTTACACTCAAAGTGTATGTAAAAAGGCCAGCATCCCACTGGCTGGAACTGTGGTTCTCCCTGCACAGCAGCCCCTTGGGAGATATATTGAGTTTGTGTGGTCAGGTTTTGGTAGTGGGGGAGCTTTAAGGATGCCTACTCTGAGAAAATGCTAGAAGCTTCTCCCATGTCCAACAGAGCCAATGTCAGCCAGCTCCTCCAAGATGGACCCACTTCTGACCAAGCCTGAGCCCATCAGCCGTGATAGTAATGCTAAATAAGGAAAGAAAAGTTATTGGTACAGAAGTAATTGCAGAGACAGAGAAGACAGAATTGAGAATACGTGAGAGAACCAACACTGCAGACAGCAAGGCCAGCAAAGGAGGGGGAGAAGGTTCTCCAGGCACCGGGGAAGAGATACTTTTGCAGCTCATGATGAAGATCATGGTGAGGCAGGCTGTCTCCCTGTAACCTTCAGAGTTCCACAGGGGCTCAGAGATCCACCTCTAGACCCTGGGGGAGCCTCACATGAAAACAGGTGTATGCTTGGAAAAAGGTTGCGACTTTGTGACTCTGTGGGAAGCCCTGGAGCAGGCTCCTGGCAGAACCTGTGACACTGTGGCGAGAGGAGTCCGTGCTGCCTGGTTTCTTCGAAGGACTTGTGACCTCACAGAGAACCCACGCTGGAGCAGCTTTTTCTTGAAGAACTGTAAGCCATAGAAAAGGACCCACACTGGAGCAGTTTGTGAAGAACTGCAGCCTGTGGAAAGAACTCATGCTAAAGGAATTCATGGAAGACTGTCTTCTGTGTGAGGGACTCCAGGCTAGGGCAGGGGAAGGATTCCTCTTCCTGAGGAGGAAGTGGTGGCAGAAACAACACATGATGAACTGCCTGTAATCCCCATTCCCGTGTCACTGCTAGTTGTGGGGAAGGAAGTAATGAATCAGGAACAAAGTTCCATATGGGGAGGAAGATGGGTCAGGTGTTTTTAAGATCTGTTGTATTTTTCATTATCTTACTCTGATTTTGACTGGTAATAAGTCCAATTAACTTCTTCAGGTACCATCATAGCAATCAGTGAGTGATCTCTCCCTGCTCTTATATGAACTCATGAGCCTTTCATTACATTTTGTCTCCCCTACCCAGTTGCAGAGGGGAATGATACAGAAGCTTTGGTGGATGCTTGGCAGCCAAACATGTTAAACCATCACAGGAATCCACCCTGTCCTCTAGCCCCATCTTTCCTAGGGATAAAGCATTCATTCATGGCAATCAAGATTTTGGCTGCACCTCAAGCAGGACTTTTGGCAAGGCCTTGGCACCAGCACAATTCGTGCTCCGAGTGCTGTTCTGGTCCCACATGTGTACCATGCTCCTATTCACTCAGCAGGACTTCTCTCCCGTATGCATTCAGCGAGCATTTTACCCTCACACAATCCAAAAGCTGTGCCGCTCCTGCCTGAGGCAGCTGTCCCACACCATCCCTTCCAGCTTGCCTGGGTCCCTCACAGTTATGAGGGACTGACGACCTGTGAGGCCCCAGGCTGACCCCTCTCTCTGCAGAAGAGTCTTCCTGCTTCTTCAAAGCAAGACCCTGCTTTGTTCTCTTTCTCTGCCCTCCCCGCAGAGGGAGGGTGCTCTTTCCACTAACCACTTCAGGAAGAGTATGGCACAGTTTCCCTGCCTTCTTCTAGGGTCCATCAGTAAGTCACCACAGGTGACCACTGGGACAGTGACAGTGCCTGGTCAGTGACAATCCCTTGGCTGCTGTCTGGCCCCTTAACCCCATTGGGGCAGTGTTTGGGTTGTTCAGCGGCTGAAGGCCAGTGCAGGCATGGTAGTGGGGTGGCAGGATGTGGGGGGATACACTTTGGAGCCTTGGGAGTTTCTGCAGCTCTGAACTTCCCACCCTGGGGCACACTCCCTCAGGGAGCCCATGATGGACAGACTGTTCAGATATGACAGATTTTGCAGGGGGTAAAAGAATATTTCATAGCAAGGAACTGAGATATAAGGAGATTTTTTTCCTTTTCAGTTACAACTTTTATTTGCTGACTTCTCTTCCAGAAAATCTTCATTGCTATGTACAGCAAATGCATGCACCAGTATTTACATAATTTTCTATCATATTTTTTCAAAATTGCTATTCAGCTAGGATAAATATATGCAATCTTTATCATATCTGATACTGATGTTTAAAAATCCCTGCAGTGGAAACAAGGATGGATTGTACCAGCCAAGGCAGTACTAGTTTCATGTGCCCTATTAATAATTTCCTCAAGGGATATTCAGCTCCTGCTTCTGTCTACCTCACTGTCCCACAGTGACTGCAACAGTAGTAAAGCTCACTCAATGAGGATTTGCTGAAGAGTAAGGCTGGGTAAAATTAATTGCATTTATTAGAAATATTCTTATATTCATAGTGAGTCAAATACTGACTCAGCTTAAAATTTTGGCTGAATTAAGTCAGATTCTGCACTTTTTTTAGACAATAACTTCAAACTAATTTCTGAAACTATATATATGCATATTTGAGCCAGTAAATGCATTCCTAAGGAATCTTTGCTAGCGGTAGCTAAATACAAAGAAATTCTTCATATTATGTCACCAATCACATGCCAACAAATTGTGTTGGAACAACTGCAGTTTTATCCAGTTAGCTGCCTTTTAAAAAACTGAGTGTGAATTTCAGCTAGAAAGAGGCAACTTTTCACAAAGACATATTCATCAGGTAATCAGCTTTGTTGGATTCCAGCATCTGAATCCTGTGCCAGACAATGAGAGGAAACTCTAGCAGAGCTTCACTCTCTGTTCAGAATAGCACTGGGCAAGCTGTTCAAGACCAAGCACCCAGCTCTGTCAGCAGTCCTGAGCTTGTTTTTTCATTTTGCAGTTTGCATTCCTTGTTGTGCTTTGCTCAAATGCCATCTCTTTGGGGTTAGTATTGTCACAATGTGACCTGTCTGCAATATAAGCACAGTGGAGAGCTACACTTCACTAGGATTTCCAGGCAGAAGTAATCAACAGAAACGACATAAATGTAAGAAAGAGCCTAGATATAACCTTATTAATTTTCTTATTTTGAGGATATTTCAGTGTTGTAGGACAGATTAGATGCAATTTTTCCTTACACAATGATGAGGGTTCCTCTTTACACTTCACTTTCTTTATAATTCTAAGAGGATGTAGTTTAGAAGAGCATTAAGTGAATAAGGCTTTAGGTTTACACAGAACAGTATTATTCCTTTATCTAAACTAATTTCCTAAAAGGAGGTATAGATCATTGGATCTCATTTAGAGGCACAGAGAAGCTCAGATGATTTGCTGTCACATGCACAGTGACATTGGTTTGGGTTTCTTGGTGAGAAGAGTCCTTCAGTACTGATGTTGTTCAAATTGTATTATATAGTAAAAGATGATCCATTGTCAGTCAGAATTTCACTAGTCTGTCTTGAATGATAAGTATCAGAGTTTGTCCTTGAACTACGTTTATTGTCTTTCTTGTGTCTCTTGCACCATAGGTCCTTCATTAGCTTCACAAAATAACTTCTGAACTTCACTCCAATAAACGCATAGAGCACAGGGTTCACACAACAGTGTAAAAATGCTATGGCTTCAGTGGTGTATTTTGCATAAGCCATTATCTTGTCATTGTCACAAGATTTGTCAATTTTGCCCATGTTGACAGCTGTTATGAGAAGAACAATGTTATAAGGTACCTGGCAAACTAGGAAAACAGCTACAATTAATACAATCACACGAATAGCTTTGTTTCTTTTGGAATTCTGAGCTTGTTGTAAGGATTTGACAATGAAGGTGTAGCAAAAAACCATGAATATGAAAGGTATAAAAAATCCAAATGAAACTTGTAGCCATAGCAGCAACGATTTCAGCATTGTGCTTTCAGACATTCTGGCAGATCTGTGATCACAAATCTCTTTGGTTTCATTCATGGAGAAGCTGTAACTTTCACTGTACAGAAAAGAGGGACTAGAGATTAAAATTGATGATATCCACACAGCCAAACAAATGAGTTTACTATGTGCAAGAGTCCTTGCCCTGAGTTTAAAAGACTTTGTTGCCTGTACGATAGCAATGTACCGGTCCACACTGATAAAGACCAAAAGCAGCATGCCACAGCTGAAGTTGATTGCATAGATGCCTCTAGTCATTTTGCAAATTAAATCACCAAAAGTCCATTCATCAGCAGCGTAATTCACTGCCCACAGTGGAAGAGTAAGAACAAACAGTATGTCTGCTATGGCCATGTTGAAGAGGTACACATCAGTCATGGACTTAGCTCTTTCATATAAAGCGAAAGTGATCACCACAAAAATGTTACCAAAGAGGCCGATGATACAAATCAATGAATATGCAACTGGCAGAAATGCTTTTGTGAAGTTCCTGACTTCCAGCTTAGAACAAGGTGGCATGATCAGAGAAGCATAGTCTGCATAATAGGGGTAATCTGTGGATCGAGGGTCTGTCTGTCAAAAAGGAGAACACCAGTTAACACACAGATGTTAATCTTTAATCCCTGTATGGTAGAAACATGATAGATAACTGACCACACATTCCAATTACAAATGCATTTAACTCTACAGACAAGACTTGTAAGAACTATCTAGGAAATTTCATAAAATCATACTTAAAATGCGAATGTGGAAATAATCCTTTTGAATGTCCCAAAGGCCATATTTAAATGCATTGTGCAGAAAGGACAAGTCTGCTGTCACAGAAGAATCTACAGTGTAAAAGTCTGAATTTGAATTAGGGGTCTAGTCTTCCTTTACCATCACACAAGGCAAAAAGGCCTTTCTAGGATACTATGCATTTCATACTAATGTAGCTTGATTAAATCAAGCCCAAAAATGATTGCTTCTCTCTACTCAACTAGAGAGGCAATCTATGATAGCTAGTCTGAGACACATTCACCTGCATCCCAAACACCACACCTGTAGTGAAAATCCAATAAACAGTGTGCTTTGACAGCAAAGTCTGCTGTCAGAAGCATCTCTTCAGATTTTCACTCGTGAAATTACAGTGTTTGGATCTACAGTCTCAAGAAACTGGGTCTTACAGAGTCATTGCTTTATTGATATGCTAACATAGTTTATAAATTAGGTACTTACAAAATTCATTTTGGCAGTACACTTCTCAGAAAAATATGTCCAGAAGGATCTTAAAATATTTTCCCAAGTATTTCTGAAAACAAAATAAAGTAGATTGGACCAGAAAACCAGTGCAAAAAGTGTGAGCAAGTAGAAAAACAAAATTGGAAATAAAACCTGTTCAAAACACAACCTCATCACTGGAGCATGTTAAGAAATCACACATCTCTACAAAATGTAGTAGAAAATGTAGTTGTAGAAAATGAATAGTTTTTATCAGTATTATTAACAGCACAGACTTATATATTGAATGTTTATTCATAGGCTAATAAATTACATATGAGAATATGTGACCGCTACTTCACATTGATTTGCACACTAGAAATTAGAATAAATTAAATTTTATTTTGGGAGTTTCTGTATGACAATGGCAATCTGTGTATTGAGGAAAATATGGAAAAAATAAACAGCACTCCCTTAGTACACTTCATAAAAGTGATGCAACAATTTACCCTTTTTTTCCACTCTGACACTTTATCAGGGTCTCAGCGCTTTCAACGTAACATTATCTGTCCTTTTTATTACACTAGTGAAGTAATAGAAGAGCAACAGAACAGAACTTCTTATAGTGCAAAGGATAGTACACAATGTATGAACAGACCGAGCACTGATGTTTTGTCTCTGTTCAGTGCACAGACTTACTGTGCAGTGTTCAGTGTGCAGTTCCGACAGCACCCTATGAAAAAAATTTTTTTCTTTATCACTGTGATACCTAACTGTTTTACAGATTGGGTTTACTTAATTTGCACAACGCCCTGTGGTGAAGAAGTATTACCACCTTTATTTAAAAGGGAGAATCTGAGTCATTAGAGCTAAGTATCCACTTAAGATGATCAGTTTGAGACATGTATCCCTCTCAACATCACTTCTAAGAGTACTTAAAATTATGAAGGACTTCAGCTGGTAAAGGATTAAATTCATTGACTGATGGCATCCAGGATCATACTTCTGCAAAACAGATCACAGAGTCTAAAGTCACAGAAAATAAAATGGGGAACACACCATTGGTGACCATACACAGGAAGCTGGGCTTAAATAATTTGTTCAGCCTCACACAGGAGCTCATAGCCAGGAGATTTCATTCCTCAGACTCCCCTTGCAAGAGTTCAGCCCTTCTTTCCATTAACTGTTGTCAGAGAACCGCACCTATCAGCAAGGCAGTAATTTCAGGGACAGGATGACATGAGGTCCCATATTTGTCAAGGCTGTGAAGGACAGTTTTGTCTAGAGTTTTTCTGCTTTTTGCTGTGTTACAAATTGAGAAGAGCACATGGGTCAGCTTTAAGTCTACAAAACCAAAACCTTCTTGTTTGGGAATTACCTAATGTTGAAAATGAGAGAGAGAATTTGTAAAAATGGAGCAGATGAAGTCCAGATACAATGGGGAAATTGGGGGAGGGAAAGGACAGAACCCTCTCCAAAAGCATAATGAGGATGACTCATGTGGGGATGCTGGCTCATGACGGAGGGCTGCAGCTGGGTAAAGACCTGAACTCTACAATGTAGCAAAGGCATCACAGTTTATCTGGATTTCCTGCCCTTTAAAGAAATCTTTAACTATATCTCCGGCTTTGTCTGCTGGCTTTTCAAAGCTGATTTTTAGAAGATGCAGAAATATGACAGCCTGAAAGTGCTTGAACACCTTCTGAAGCAAATCTCAAACAACTTAAAGGTGTCTCTCAGAAGTGCAGAGATGTATAGGGCAAGCAGGAAAGTTATGCAATTAACCAGGGGCTGTGGTCCCTTAGCCCATCTTTGCACTATTTTAGTCACTGTCCACTGCTTTACACTTTCTGATCTCATCCAGCCACACACTTGAGACCTTGCTTGCTGTTTCTGTTACCCTTTGTACTTGGCAGCTACAGTAATTCTTCAGATGGACAGAATTAAAGGGGTACTTGTCTAGGTTATTATTTTAGAAACTGTTATTTTATCATTGAGAGAAAAATGCCATTCTGGGTGTCTGCCATTCATGTCTTTTTAAGACCTACATGGTTAAAACATACAAAGAGAGTCTGACAGCATATCTTCTATCTAAAAGTCATTCTTCATTCCACTCAGACAAAGTCACCCTGAAACATGAGCATAACATACAGAAGGAAGGTGGTTGGGTGAGGTCATTTAGAAGAAAGGGAGCCATGGGTATTTCCTACAGCCTGCAAGAATGGCTAAGAAGGGAGCTCTCTTCAGATGATCACTAAGAAAAGGCTCTCTAGTTTGCAGAAGAGCTCAGCAGAGATCATATGGGGAACAACAACTACTCATCGCAGGAGAGCTGCATATTCTCCCTGATCCTACAGGAATTCAAAAAGGCACCACCAGCCACACATTTATTCACAAAAATACTTCTACTGTCCAGCAGAAGCTTCCTGAGGATGGTCAATATGAGAGTTGTAGCAAAGGACTCAAAATGAAATCAGAATTGCAGAGATCAGATTTAGAACGATTTAAATCTCTTGAACTGACTTCCTTTTCTGAATCTGAAACAGCATTCGCAGAAGTTTTTAAAAAGATGCACTGGCTGCTGAGGAAGTTGAATCATAACTCTTGTAAACACAATGTACTTTTCAACTTAAATCTTTCTAACAGTGTTTCAGTAGGCACCTTTATAATTTATAATCTGAATATTTACATCTTTATTTAGCATTAATGTATTAGGTAAATATAAAAATAATTTTTCAGATATATATATATATAAGGTGGTGTGTCCTAACATTGGTTATGTCCTACATATGGGTAGTACATGTCTCTGCATGTGCACTCAAAAACACCTATGTTCTGAATATTAAATATATAAGCCTTGAATTTTTGAGCTTAGTATTTTTTCCACTTTATCCACATCATCACATTTCTTTTCACCATGAAAGCAGTGTGCAAGTATTCAAACATAAGACTAAACTGCAATCTTAAGAGCAAATATACTATTTGAATTATACAAACAAAACACAATGAATAAATACAGACCTGGACAGAATTCTATGAAGAAAATAATTCAGTCATTAATTACTTTTAAGAGTAGTCCATCCTTGTAAGTAGAATCCCACTTACATGTTCAGTTTAATATATTTGCCAGACATATACACGGATTATAGATTACCTGTTTTATTTTAGTACTTACCCGATTTGAAAATAGTCTGAAGGCCAGATGAAAGAGAATGTGTGATTCTTTTGGCTTCCTCAAGCACATTTACCATCAGCCTCAACAAGAGTACACTCTAATTTAGAAAACAAGAAATAACAGCATTAGTTAAAGGTACAGAGATAGATTGAAATAACCACCACTTCCTTCTCACAAGCAACAGCAATAACCTGGTTTTTCATGTAAAGAAAAATGTTGCTGTGCTGAAAATATTCAAGCTGGAGGCAAATATGTTATTAATTTATTTATTAGTCTTCCTATGTAATGACATTATTCTTAAAATGATCAAGCTAGAATCAGAATCATAATAAGCAGGGTGTTAATTATCATTTTGCTCAGAAATGTCCTTATGATGGTTTTGCAAAGGGTGCACTTAATGTCGTGCAGATGAGTAGTTTCAAGATCAATCATTTAAATCAACAAGTCTGCTTAGACTAAAACTGTGAAATGAGATGAGTAATAATTACCAAATTGATTAGCAGCTGTTTTAGAAGAAAAAAAGTAGTAATCTGTTATATGTCAGGGTGCATACAACCCAAATGTTTGTCCAGATCTGCAAACACAAAATGTGCAAATGCAGGTAGATAAGTAAAAGGTGGTTGCATTTGCCTGTTTGGCACAAGCATTTACCATTCATGTTTATGCTGTTCAAGTCTGTTGCTAAGTTAGTTGGAACTAATTTTAATTTAATTTCATGGTTCCTGAATTTTAAAACCTAGAAATGTTTCTTTTCCAGACCTGGGTTTGAACACAACTTAGATGTTTGCATTAGCAGGAAGGGGGAAAAAAAAGAAAATAAAAAGGTAAAATGGCATAAATACAGACAGCCTTGTAAAATTCTAAGATATGATTATATTAATAGAGCACTGGACCTAAAGAAATGCAGGACGACAGATGTTCTGCTCACTCACTTTTTTCCTAAACAGAGCATATCACAGTAGCAGTGGCTCCCTACCAGCTTAATTTTGGTGCGCCTTTCCCCTGACCACACCCAGTGAATGGAACAAAATACTGCCTGCTGTCAAAAGGAGAACTGGTACATTTAAAACACCATGTTGTAATGGTTCATAATATCTAAGCAGGCACATGTCATTTTCTCAATGGCCCATTTTCACAGGATCCAAGACTTCAGCTATTACCAAATACATGTGCATGGAGCAGCATAGAGATACCTGAAAGCCCTGAAATGAGTATTGTTTTACCAAAATGTGCACGCATATGTGGTGAAAGCATGTTTTGATTGTTATTGCTGAGCAGCAATCTTCACTGTTTGTTGCATACAAAGCAAAAAAGTGTGAAATCTATCTGTGACTCAAACAATTTCATCAGGGTCACTATAAGATTAATTTGGCCTCCTTATCACTGTTTGGACTAAACCACTCCCTGCCATCACAGATCAGGAGCAGGTTGTTATTAAATCCGTAACATAGCTAAGCACTTGAAAATGGTTTTATAAAGCCTGGTAACATGGAGGAAAGAAGATGTGGGAGTTTCAGTGCAGAGACAAAGAGGTCAAGACAGCAGTCCTTGTGAATCCCACAAGACATCCTTAATCACAATATAGACGTACTCCCCACTCTTTACTTATAATTTTATAGTTCATAACAATTTCCATCATTAAAACTTCCCAGGTTTTCAGGCCATCCTTTGAACTTTTCCTGAAAGGGGCTTTGACTTTCCTTTTAACTGCATTTTTGTGCTGGTTTGCTAACTTGTTATTTGCATGTCAAATTGCAATAATGGAAATCTTTAAATTAACTTGAGGTTTGGAAGGTACTTTCTGGACCTTCTTAGAAAGAAAACACAAGCTTCATTTTGAAATCTCCTATCCCTCAAGTGCTGCAAGGCACAGTACATTTACTCCTGTTAAACTGATGTGCATATACTCTTTGTAGTAACATAGCTATATATAGCAGCCTCAATCCTGTTTACAGAAAACTCACTTTCTGTAAGACCTGTGTGAAGAAAACCAGATTCCTGTTCACAGTCTCTGACAGTTCGAAACAAGGGCTCAAACCCTGTTAAAAGTAGCAAATTCAGAGTAGGAACACATTTTGTTGGTAGCGTAATTTGCTGACATGTCATTGTGGGATATTTCATTGAAACATTTCTTGTGTTTCTTTCTCATAAATTGGGGAGTGAAGAGATGGATCTCTACAACCTTTGTGCATTGTCTTCATTGCACAAAGACAATTGTAACACATGGCACTCATAATTATAATGACTAACAGAAGCAGAAAATCCCTCTCCATTACAAAACCATCTATGACTTCAAATCACCAAGTCTGTCATGATTGTAATACATATTCAGACAAGCACTTCTAGTAACAGCTTCCAACATCTCTCTCAGACAACAACTTACCTTTGGAATACCAAGATTAGCCTGTGAGGAAACTGAATATTACCAACATATTTTCATGGAATGAAAGTCATCAAAATATACATCAGATTTTTAATGCTTAATTAAAGATAAATCAGAGGCTGATCCTTTACAAAAACTGTTGCTCACTTTGTTCCATTATCAGGTGTTTTCTAATTTAAATGTATCTTGTGCTTTTAGTCTGTAATGTTTTCAATATCCAGCATAAATAACAATACTTCAGAAGCTGAAGAATTCACTGTTTAATGAATTCCAAATTTACCACAAGGTACCTAGTCCAACTTACCTTTTCAACACTGCTTCTTTCAATCAGTCAGCCTTCTTTACAGGTGCTTTTTGCTTTACCTTCACACAGTGTCAAGTGGAAAGACTTCGCTCTTTTCAACACAACTATTTGTTAATCTGTGTGTTAGCTATTTTTGGTTCATATGTTACAGCTCTGAAAGGAAATCTGCTCTTGCTTAGCTAATATGGTAATTGTGGTTTTTCAAATCTCACCACATGTTAGTTTTCTGCCACCAGTAATTAAGGAGAGAAAATATTTAAAGATAGGGAAAGCTAAGCCATTTTCTGAGTTGCTCCAGAATCCACAAGTTTCTTCTGAAATGACACAGTATGTCATCTTTTTTAATTCTAAAAGAAAGGCAGCATGCACACCCATGCTCTTCCAACCTGATATCATGTTCTTTCAGTTAAATTTAGATCAGTCTAATCTAATTAAAAAACCTAGCCATCAGCTGAAGTTCTAGTCTCTTCATTATTCTTTTGGACTATAAAATGTAAATTATGTATTTGCATTCAAGTTGTTTATGTTACATATTTAATTTTTCTAATTTAATAATGATCATCCTACATTGTCAATATATATTTTTTCGGCATTAATTCTATGCAAATTTCCTTCTTTTGTTTTCATCTAGTTTTTCACTTCTTGTCAAACATTTTTGCTGGTTTTGGTATTTCTGCATTTAGTTTTTTGTTCTCCCTGTTTCTTCCTCTTTCTTTGTTCGGCTTTTCTAGATTTCTCTTACTCCTATCTCTTGTTGTCTTTATAATTTCTCTTCAGCATTACATTTTGTAATTCCCCTCACTTCCTTCCCCTTTGATCATTTTTGTTCCCCTTCTACCTCACTCCCATCTGCTCCCATTATCCCCCTTGCCAGATGCAGCCCTCCTCTCACACTATGAGGCATCAGTGACTGATATACATCTTGCACTGACCAGCATCCACCAATATTTTTATCACTTGGTCACCTCTGTCAAGCTAGTCAGGGAAGACAGAGCCATCCTAACGGCCTTCTACAGGGTTTGTTTTTTTTTCACTGGAGCAACTAGGGTTCAGGGATTAAATGGGTAGCATTGTAAACAGAGCACTTGGGAAGGAGCTTGCACAGTCAGCCCTTAGGGCTCACCTCCAGCCCAGGGTATGACTGCATGTGTCAGGTATCACAATCCATCACTTTTCTTCCACCAATGCACTCGATATTTGTCTTGAAAATGAAGTCAGGCTGAAAAAAAAATCTGATGGGAAAGAGTTTACTAGTCATGGTAAGATGTGATTTCTTGTCAGACTAAACATGGAATTTCTGAAGGAGGAGCACAGTCATTCTCAGAGCACTCCTCTGCTTCACTGCAGCATCACTTCTTAGAACCAGCTGAGCTCATAGCGAGCCTGAGTTCCAGAAAGAAAATCATGAAAAGCAATAAATGCATCCTCCTGTTGATAATCACTGACTTCAGAGAAGCTGGTTAAACAGATTTTATTCTATTGGAGAAAATGTTGATAAATCAAAGTTGTAAAATAAAACTTTTCAATTTAAAATTTAAAAATGCTAGTTTGTAAAATGCACCAAGATGCACATCTGACTTATCATATGCTGGTTTATGTTTTTATCCTCTTTTGTAGTCTCAGCTTATCAGTCAGGCTAGGTTTCCCAACTTTGGACAGAGAAAGCAGGCAGTGAGTAATGTCATTCCATGATCTAAGATCTCACAGAAGTTTAGACAGAAAAAGGAATAGAAATCATGAGGAACACGAACACCCATGAGAGATAAGACCAGCTTTTCCAAGGCTTTTCCTTTAACACACTTCAGTTTTTCATCAGAATATTTCTGGGATAGCTAAAGGCATTCTGAAGGAAAAATCTGGTTTATTGAAATAATAAGGTTTTTACTTTAAGAAAAAGTTTTTTCCAGATTATGCTGTATTTGGTCTCTTTTTTGCTATTCCCTTTTGACTGCATATCTTAAAAAGGTTTAAGAACCATTTCTGGTAGAAGAATCTCCCCAGGTTATGGCAGAAGTAATGAACCCTAACAGTGATGAACACAATAACACAACCCTTGTACTGCCAAGGGCCTGTTGAGTGAAGCTGCCAGGCACTTGTAATCTCACTTTTTTACCTTTTCAACCCAAAAGAAATTATTTTATAGACCAGAAAATATATGTTTATTCCTGAAATCCCAACAAAGAATGTGCAATGCAAGTCACAGTCCCTTATTTAAGTGCTTAAGATCACATTCTTGATAAAGTGGATGTAATTTTTTTAAAAATTAAGTATATCACCTTAAAAAAGACAGAATATTACATAATATTTCCAAATAACTGGTTTCTGAACTCAATGGTCTACTGAAAGAAAATCTGCTGTATTGTTTACAAAGTTCTGCCAGTATTTACATTAGGCTGTAGAGGACAAGTGAATTTCCATGTCAGAAATGTTGCACACAAAGATAAAAGCAGAGCTAAGTATGCAGTTGCTGACATAATTCCTGTATTTTTGATCCTCTAGTCAGATCATACCCATTATGGTAACATTTTTTTATTGTTTCACTCAGTCATTCACTCTCTGTTTAATGTCTCATTGAAATAATTACCAAAGCAGTATCTCAGAGCCTGTCATCACTCTGTACTCCTAAGCAGTTACATTTTAATGTGAATGTATTGAATTCAGTGACCTGATTTCATTTTAGACTTGTACTTTCTTCATATGTCTCTTTTTTACAAGAGACCCACACCATGGAATGCCCCGATCCCATCTCTCCAGCAGTGGGCTTCACAGCCTGAGTAAGAGCTAAAAATAGATTAAAAGTTGTTTATATACCTAATGCTGCAACTGCATGTGTGGTATGGAAGTTTAAAGGCATCTGTGATCCCAGGTCACACCTAAAGCCACAGATGATGAAATGGAAGAATGAAATTTGAATCTGTGTCTGCACAATATGCAGTCCCTCTCTTGGCTGGATATAGATCAGAGATGATTTCTTTCCTCCTGTGTGGACCAAGTTACAGCACGTGCCTTTCAGCACGTGAGCTGTGATTTTGCTGATTGCAAAGACAAACTAGAAGTACTGCCTGGCCACTTCAATGAGACAATGACTCCCTCATTTTACATCTATTCCACTAACCACACCAATGATCTGAGTCTACCCAGAGAGAAACTGCCGCAAGAAATTGCTCTGCAAGGAGGAAAATCTCCTTCCAGGTCTTCTGGACAGGAGGAATTTCCGCTCCCATACAGTCACTGCTGAGATGCCATTTGTGCAGGCTGGTATAGGAAGGAAGTTGTGTCCTAATCACTATCCTCTCTGTGGTCAGATACTAATCAGTGAGACAATCAAACACGTTTAAATAATTTTGCTTTTAACAAGTTTTAAATGTTTCAAGCACTTAACTTTCACAGCAGAAGAGTTGCACTGTGATTCCTTTAGAGCATTGAACATAACTATTTATTTCTGTGTGAATTAGGAGGGAAAGGAAATGCACTGTATTGTGCCAGGCAGATGACAGGGAAAATACTTGCTGACACAGGATCCTCTGTTGTGCTCAGCTAACCCATCTGTCTAAATTCATATTGCAGCAGATAGATAACCTTTCACTTCCCTTCTAAGAGTGGGAAGCTGCTCTTATCATTTGATCTCTAGTATGCATGAAATCACTGGTGGTTAGGGCTTTGATAACATTGATTTTTCCACTTTGATTTTAGAGGTGGTAAAAGAAAAAGTTAAAAAAAAGAAACCAAAGAAGTAATGGGAGGCATATTACTGAATGTTTCTTCCCAGGAACAACAAATTGGCAACTGCAGGTGATTAATTTTGTGTTACACAGAGAGAATGCAAGCATGTGCTTATATCCATTCCTGAGGGATGATGGGTTTGTTTCCCAACAATATAATAAATATAATAATAAATATAATAACAATATATAAAATAAATACAATATATTATAAATACACTATATTATATATTCTACTATGTTACTATACTATATTATATAATATATACTATATAATAATTATAGACTGTATTATATAATTATGTATTATAAATACAATCTATTATATATTATTATATTAAAAATACAATATACAATAAAACAATATATAAAACAATATAATATAATCTAGCTTCCACAAAGACAGGAACTTGCTAATGCTGTGGGACAGGTATGTTAGAGAATCAAGCAGCACAGCTAAATCTACTGAAATTATACTATTGGGCAACAGCCTGGAGAGTGAAGAACAGTTAGCCCAGTTACTCAGGTAGAACTGTCCTTGTGACACCAGGAGCACAAAGGGACAGGTCAGTTCTGTAGGCATTCTGGCACTGATTTGAACCTCCGTGCTGGTTGGTGGCCTGACCCTGGCTGGATGCCAGGTGCCCATCAAAGCATTTCTATCACTCCCCTCCTCAAATGGACATGGGAGTGAAAATGTAATAAAAGGCTCATGAGATAAGGGCAGGGAGAGATCACTCACTGATTGCTTCACCTGGGCATCTCTAGAGCTGTTATATCCTCTCCTATATTCTTACTCTTCTCTTCTTTATCTGCCATTGCTCTTGTGAAGTATTGCCCCCACCCCTCTACTTCTTAAATATGTTATCCCAGAGGCTCTGCCACCATCACTGATAGACTTGACCTTGACCAGCAATGCATCTGTCTTGGAGTGTCTGGCATTGGGTCTGTTGGACATGGGAAGCTGTAGCATCCCCCACCACCTCCACCAAAACATTGCCACACAAACCCAATATAACCTAGAAAACTAGAATCTTATTTATGGCCCCTAGCCTTGTCAAGGGAATTTCTTCATCTGCAGCAAAACTTTTTAACAGGTCTCTCAGTGTATCTTCTTTACCTGGTGCAGAGCTAGAGCTATGCCAGATATTTCAGGTGGCAGAAGCAGTATAGCCCTCAAAGGATCTATTCATCTTTCTCCAAGTTAGATTATTTTTGATGACTGCCCAGGCACCTTGCTCATCTCTTCATGGCATTGTCCCTGCTTGTTGCAGGGGGATTGGACTAGATGACCTTTGAAGGCCTCTTCCAAACCAAATTGTTCCATGATTTTAGAATTATGTGATTGTGCTGTGTGGCACAAACA